CACGACGCGTCAGAACGTTGTCAAAGAGCGTAATAGACGAGTCGGCAAGCAGGGCGAATCCGCCACCGCCGCCTATCGGCCCAACCAACTGCAACAGCGCGGAGCGGAGGAGGAACTGGACACTCACCTCTGTCACTGCATTGCCATTGGGTTCGATCGTGAAATCCTCAACATCTGGGTCGGGGGTAGGGCCAGAGGCTGTGTCGTCACGATCCTGGTCGAAGAAAGAACCGATAGAGAATGGAGCGGGCCCGGGGACAGTCTGTCCGAGGTGATCGTTGTGGACAAAGGTGGGTGGGACGGTAGGCATCGAGGACTCGCAGGGCCTTGGCCAGACACGGATAGGTGATATGGTCAACGAATATCTCGTGGTCGTGCACAGGCTGGGCGATGCGCTACAGTTCGCTTTAGAATCTAAAGAGGAGTGCAAGGGGAGAGCGCTGCTGCCTGGATTGGGCGATCCTCGTCTGAATCCGAATGCGAGAGCTGGTCCTGGCGCGAATGCCGGAGCAGCGCGGGGCGTGGGGTCCTCCAACGCGGTGCTTGACTGGAGAAGCCGCGGGACAAGTAGGCGTGCCCAGCAAAATGCGGGGGGCTACCACCTCACTCCCACGTGGCGTGCCGATACGCCGCTCCCGCTGGCCTGCACATATCGAGTGCAACCTTGGCTTCCTCAGATTGACAGGATCCACGTCTAATACACTCTAAGCCGACGCGCTTACGCTAAACTGGTAAAACGTTAGACGAGCAGGTGGGGGCGTGGTGGTTCTGTGCGCTTCTCTCAGCTACGGTATGACGCGTAGGGTAGTGAGCGTTGGCGACGACCTGTCTATGCACCCACATGGCCGCTCGACGATCACCTATACAAAAAGTCCACTCCAGCTGCTCCCACTCATCATTTAACTAACAATGCCACTGTAAGTCTTCATGCTGGACATTAACTGAAGTTGCTCTTAGTGTGTTGACTGCTGAATCGTCGTTGCGCACGGCCATCTGTATCGCGCTCCTACTTGTCGGTCCACCTCGCATGCAGCTATATACGCAAAATTACTCAGGTGAGATAAGTCCACCGCTCTTCAGCGTTGACACCAACTTACTCGTCACTGCCCTGTTCGCTTTGTCTCAGTCACATTGCCCCCACAATCTTCAAGCGAGCCTCGCAGAATGCTTCCACTAGCTACTCTCCACCAATCTGCACGCTGAACAGGATCACAGAAACTCCCTCCGCGTACATCCATCGAACCCATCACGATCATCCTTTACAACGCGTCGCACGCCCACCCCGTCACGTACATCCTGCTCAACGCGTCGCACGACCACCCCCCGAGCGGGATCGCGGTGCCGCGCGTATACATGCGGACGAGGAACGCATCACACGTTTACTGTGCTCGAAGATTTCACCAAGTACGCGTGGGGACCCCGTTCAGCGCTGCCTACATACTCCAGTAAGACGACGGCCCGCGCTGTCCATTCCGGGAACACTGAATTGATGGGTCTGCACGGCTACGATGGAACTGAAGTGTAGCCTCGGATGGTATACCGTCACGATACTTTCGCTCAAGCTCTTCCAGGGCGCACTCCTCGCAGTATGGGAGCATGACCCGGCTGCTGGGGCGATGGGCAGCATGTCTCGGCAGGACAATGTGCTGCCAACCGGGCTGGGAGCGGGAGGGTCCTATATTGACAACAGTGAGAGCGCAATGTCCCGGGATTCCGCCTCAGCTTTGTGCAAAGTGCATCTTGAACGGCTCTCACGCTATTGCAGTATCATCGCTAACGATTGCTTGCAGTTTCTCGAGTGTATTGATGCCGCGTCAGATACACCGGGCCCACTCATAAGGGATATTGATCTCCGAGAATATCGCGCAAGGCTCGTCGATCAACGTGGACCTGGATCTTCTGATTTGTAGCTTGGTGCGGCCACAATCCATGGAGGTCGTCCTGCTAGGGCGGCATTATTCACCGCGGCCACGGCCCCCAACATTATTTATTGACGTCGTAGGCTGGCTCGACTTGAATGCGTCAAACATGCAGGACCAGATATTTCGTCGCATAGCTGCCTGGGACCGCGGCCTTCCCACTCCCTCCATGGCCTGGGTATCGTGCTCTGTGTTAGCTCGGCGGTACACAATAAGCAGTCTCCGTGCATGGGATCAGTTATAGCACGCATCTCACAACTATTCGGCTGCATCAGATGATTCTCCGGTGATCTCATTGCGATGCCACCGACTTATGAAGGACGTCCGACTCGACCGCCTCGTCTGCCTCTTCGCGATGGCACGCTCCTTAGCAACTCTGCTCGCCGGGCTGGCATGTTTGGTGCCTCTAACCATCGCCTGGCAAACGGACTGCGAGTCGTTCTCGCCTGAAGATGCGGCCGACATTACTTTCTTGGGAGCAACGTACTACCCTGCGAATGCTACAGTTGACCTTGCTACAAACCAGTCTACCATAGACGTGGACAATTTGCCCGCTTTCTGTCGGCTTCAGCTCCATATCACGACGAATACGACGGCCAACTCGACGTGTTACGCGGAGGTTTGGCTGCCCGACGCGTGGAACGGTCGTTTCTTGACTGTCGGGAATGGTGGGCTCGCTGGCGGAGGTGTGCACTGTGCATCGGATCTAATCTTATGTCATGGAGTCTTGACTGAGTTCACACAGTGGATGTTGCGGCGCTCGGGTTTGTTGCCATCCCGCAAGGCTGTACGTCCCCAGACCATACTTTTGCTTTTGTCTGTGCAACTGATGCACTTCGGGTGAAGTCGTTGGCGTAGGCACAGATACAGGACATGCCTCTGGCGTAGGCGAAGGATTATGGGCACTCGGTAACGATGTAAGTGTGCGCTGTCTCGGCCTCCGCGCGCTCCTTTGACTTGCTGGTCACAGAACGCAATCATTGACTATGGCTGGCGCGCACTTCACCTGAGCATCGTCGCCGGAAAACAGCTCACTGAGCAATACTACGGGAAAGATATCAGCAAATCGTATTATATGGGGTGCTCGACAGGCAAGTCTGTCGGTAGAAACGAGTAAACGTCATGATTGACACGATATCATGTATAGGAGGCAGGCAGGGGTACGTACCAATAGTATGTCTGGCGTACATCTGTTCAATGCTTTTTGGTAGGCTGAAGGAAGCCCAATCCTTCCCTGACGACTTTGATGGCATTGTGTGTCTTAATGCTCTCTGTCCGTATTTGAAACTCTTATTGTCATACAGGTCGTGGGTTCTCCGGCCAACTGGTTGACGCACTTGCAAGACTGGTCGGCCCACATCAGTCTTGACGTCCTGCCCGCCGATGGGCCACGCTTCATTAACGCGTCCACTTGGACTGACGTCATTCATCCCGAGGTCTTGCGGCAGTGTGACGCTTTGGATGGGGTAGGCACGCAAGCTCAATCTCTGCGAGAACGTCATACCGACGGCCGTACTTCATAGCTCGCCGACGGTATCATCAACGATCCTAGACTCTGCGCGTGAGTCTGTACGTCATGTAAAGTCGCTCACTGATCGACTGCGGAAAGGATAGGTTCCGTCCAGAGACTCTCGCATGCCGCCCGGGTCAGGATACTGCTGCATGCCTTACGATCCCGCAGATTGACGCTCTGCATAAAATCTATGCGGACTACTGGGAGACCAACCAGACGTGGATCTTTGGGCCGTACTATCCAGGCGGGGAGACAATGTATGGGAATGGCCTGGTTGCTGCAGAACCGAATGCGATCCCAGTCAGCTGGTTCCGGTACTTCATCACAAAGTGTGTGGCTGCTCTGATTGTATACGGTACCCTCTGACCCGTTGGGCACTTAGCGACTCTTCGTGGACAGTCGAGGACTACAACCCGTCTCTCATTGAGCTTGCGGAAGAGATAAACCCTGGGCAAGGCAATGCGCGTACCCCGTCGTGTGTATGGCGTACACTTGCTGACGAAGCCTTTCAGGCTATCAATCCTGACCTGACGGCATTCGCTGGTCCCGGAAGGAATGGAAAACTCATGCATTACGTCGGCTGGGCAGACCAGCTGATCAGCCCGGGAAACTCGTTGCATTACTACGAGACCGTCCATGCATTCATGACGTCCAACTCGGAGCTGGACATTGACGACTTCTATCGTCTGTATACGGTCCCGGGTATGAATCATTGGTGAGTAGCACGACTCCGATACTTGTGACGCACATTGATATGGAGTTGGTCGTATAGCGAGGTAGGTCTTGAACAGTCGCACTGTGTTCGCTGACCGACTGGTCCTAGGGCGGATACGGTGCAAACGCGTTCGGCACTGCTTCGCAGGCATCTGGTGGCATGCCGCCGCTGTCGTATGAGCCGCAGTATAACATCCTCGCTGCCATGGTGCAGTGGGTCGAGGAAGGTATTCCTCCCGATACACTCTATGGTGTGTACTGGAACGACAACAACTCGACGAACGGCGTAGGCTTCATCCGGCCCATCTGTCAGGTCAGTAGCGCAGGCTATCAATTTACTAGTTGCTGATGTCCTAGACAGTACCCAACAATGTCCAGGTACATCGGAGGAAATGAGACCAGTCCAGAGTCCTTCGTCTGTGTCTAGCCTCGGCGTCGTGTCTGGCCACAGGAACAAAGAGGCGTGACAGCCACTGCAAAAAGAACGAGTGACGCGTAGTATGCCTGTTCGTGAAATGTGATGCTCTCATTACTCGATTTCCATTAACGCGAATCAACCCCGACCAATCCGCGTACGTTAAGTGATAGTACTGGGTCGTAAGAAGGATACAACAACAATCAGCTGTATGGCGTTAACGTTCAAATGTAAGGACCCTTAGTTCAGCATCTGATCGGCGGGGCCGCGTAGCGATGTACAGTGTAGTTTCCGACGGAGAAACCACGAAGCTTGCGGCGCCCGTCGGCAAACGTCATAGGCATCTTTTAAGATGATGGTGAAAAACCTCAGTGAAAGCATTGATTTATCTTTGCAGAAAGAAGGACCTCATAGGGGAAGCTGGTCTCTAAGCAAATATGGACCCTTAGCTCAGCGGTAGAGCATCTGATTCCAGCGTTCTGCGCAATCAGCATCCAGAAGGTCGTCCGTTCAATCCGGGCAGGGTTCAACTCCCCTTCTTTTTTGATTGTTCACAAGGTGCAATCTTTCATCTTGTAATTTTTTATTCGTGTGAAATATCCCCAGACTCTTCGTTGATCAACACCATCATCGTACTTCGCAAGTGCATATACCAATAAGCTTGACTCTATAGTCACTGTTCAGCTGAGTTTGAAACGGATTAGCAGGTCACGAGCGGCTCCGGATACCAGCGCTGGACGGTTGTCGTGCGCTGTCCCGCTGTCTGCATGATGGTCCGCTTAACTGTCTCTGCGGGGGGCCGTACACCACTCGCGCGTGAGCTTCCCATCACGCTCACTTTTGACAAAAGCGTTGAAGACCTGACGGTCGCCGACGTCAAGTTGGCTATTGCGGCACAGTTCCCCAGGGTGAGTGAGCTAGCTGCACGCGTCTAAGAGTCGTGTGTGCTGACCGTGTCGTAGTTCTATCATTCACGGCAAAAGCTGTCCCTCAAGGGGGAGAGGAAGGCACTCGTAGACGAGAACACACTGCAGGAAGCGGGCGTCGCGGATGGTGACGAGGTCGCGGTCAAGGACCTCGGGGCTCAACTGGGATGGCGGACGGTGTACCTCATCGAATACGTGCGTTGATTCTGATCCTCTGCTGTTTCTCGCACGGCAACTCTACGACAGGCTGGTCCCCTCTTCATCCATCCATTCTTTTACCACTATTCTGCAGTGTACGGAGGTCCCCCCGTCACCCACAGCCGGCTTCAAGAGTGAGTACTGGTTGCCTTCTATCCTTTTCCGATACTAATGAGGCTCCAGGATGGTTTACGTGATGATAATGGTACACTTCATCAAGCGTGAGTGGGAAACGCTTTTCGTCCACCGATTCTCGCATGGCACAATGCCGTTCCGAAACATCTTCAGAAAGTGAGTGTGAGTTGCCCATTACGGGCTGCAGTCGCCGATACCACCCCAAACCCCAGCTCCGCACACTACTGGCTATTGAGCGGTGTGCTGCTCGCTAGCGTTCTCTACAGCCCAGCGTACAGCGACTACTCCCCCTTCATCATCGGTACCGCTCGCGATAAGCCACGGTTCCTCATGGGTTGTCTAGCCCTGTGGGCGGTAAGTCCCTTGTCTCGTGCGCGGCAGGTTCCTGGGCTCATCCCTTGCGTAGTTCGCAGAGTTTTCAAACCTTCACGCACATCTCACTCTGCGTGCTCTTCGGCCGGAAGGCTCGAAGACGCGGGCAATACCGTACGGATATGGCTTCTCACTTGTTTCATTCCCGAACTACTTCTTCGAGACCCTGTCGTGGGTGGTCATTGCCATAATGACAGGGAGCTATGCGGGTCAGTGTGCACGCATTACACAGCCCGACAGGTAGAAAACTTACAATCATGCTTCTGTCATTAGCTTGGTTGTTCGTAGCCGTCGGTGGCTTCATCATGTCGAAATGGGCAATCAAGAAGCACAACGCATACAAACGCGAGTTTGGAGAAGCCTATCCGCGCCATAGAAAAGCTATCATACCGTTCATCCTTTGACAGGGCATAGAATGCGAGAGGTTTCCTGGGTGATATTCCCTCACAGCGGGTTCAATAGTCTTAAGGGGCGGCATTCTTACCCTCCTGCGATTGTATACGATAGACGGGGTTCTGCTGTTGTCCGGGTGCCTTCATGTGGTGCAGTGCAGTTATGGAATGCTATATGCTAGCCACACTTCGCCGGCAGTCTCGTGCGCACCGAAGCCGACCCCAACCCACTGGCTGATCGTTCCTGCCACCAGCGTCTTGACCGCCCAGCCGAACAGGATGATGCTCGTAGTGAGGATGGGGTGACAGTCTAGGACGACTGAATGTACTACATCAGCAACCGGACGTGCCTGCAGTCATGACGAAATCGCATCACCTCGAAGCCCGAAGCCCGCAGACATGCCCCCCAGGACATTCCGCACAATCCATTCCCGGTCAAGGCTATCTTCGTCCAGTAAGCCAAGTGCCTGGTCCACCAGTGGATGCTGTTCCGCGATTAATGGAACCGCTGCGCTGGGTTCGACGGGAGCCGGCCGCCAGATCGCCAATAGGAAGAGCAGGAAGAGTTTCGTCAAGGACGAGTAAAAGAGCGTAAGCGGTATATGAGAATATCTGAGAACATCTCAGTGTAGCGAAAGGGTTGATCTGCAATGACAGCGGACCTGAACTCTCGCCGAATGCCAGACACTTGGGATGGGTGCGAGGGTTCAAGCGGTTCAATGAGATCGAGAGACCGGAGGACGAAGTAACAGGCAATCATGATACCAGCGTGGAATGTGGCCGTTTCTGCACGTTCGTCTCGTGTAAGGCTCCACCTGACTTGGCAATCTTCCATACGAACCTACAAAGCAACCGACAAGAATACGGAGGAAGTTGTATATGGTCTGGATGCTCCAGTCGGGAATGCCCCCTTGAGGGGCATCAATGCGAGAATCTGTTCTGATCTATAAGTAGCTATAGCGTCATGGGGCAAAACGCGCTCGTACTGAGATGTGTCCACCGGATGACTGATTACATGAGAATAGCACACCAATATGCAACGGACGACGTACACGCATCCAGCACGAGGAGTGCCATACCGAGCCGCGCTATCAAATACCACCTAGCCTGCATACAGGAGACAGGATTAGATGTGCGGACTGTATTCCAACATTGAATCGCGCACCTTCTCCCTCACACGTTCCCATGTCTTCTGGTTTTCTCCCGTTTCGGGGGACCGAGAGGACGCATGACGATGCGGCAAAGCGTCGGATTCGGGTGCAGTCCCAGACCTTCCTACCTTCCTTGCGCCACGCCCTCGGTTGAATAACAAATGTCGATAAACGTCCCGTTTGAGGAGGATCAGGTCTAGGAGGAGGGTGAGCGTGTCGTGCTCTACATATGGGTCTGCGAAGGCATGGCATGCCTCCTACAGAGGGCCAAGTTCACATATGCGCCTGTATATGTTTGTCAAGAACTTACACACGGCTCCAAGCGCAAATTATAGGCGGACTCGTAGACGGTGTAAAGAAATGGCGTTGAATGAGTGCAGCTTGTGCATATAGGCATCTCGCGTGGTCGCAGCCTATGTCATATGTTGATGACTCCTGTAGGGGAGTGGCTCTGGCGTATGTATTGACGAGCCAGGAAGTAGTTCCTGTGAACGGTTCTCCGCGTTTTTGTTACCCTAGTGTAAAACAATCTGCATTGGATAACAGTCGCGTTCCAAGTCGCAGATCGATGGATCTAACACCTACCTTTGCTTCGCTGTGAGTGAGGCGCAACCAAGGTGGTGGTCGCTCGGATGGCAAGACGGAGCAAGAGCACGGAGGTCACGCTGGTACCACCACGATTACCACTTTTGGAAGTCTCATCAATGGCTGACGGTCGCCCGTGTCACACGTCCTGCGAACACACCGACCGCGACCATGGCACCGATGGCTGGCCAACCTTCTTCTAAGGCTCTTAATGCTATTCTCCCTCTGATAATAGCAGGGCAATCATATGAAGCTCATCAGAAAGCGCGAACATTTGCGTCTAGATACAACAAATCAGGCCAATACGACACCGCGATCGACGTCCTATTCCAGTCCGCGCGAGAACTGCTAAAGGCTGGTCAGCAGGGAAGCGGTACAGACTTGGCATCGTTTATGCTGGATGTGTACGACAACAAAGGGGAAGAGGTGAACGACGAGAGTCGAGGTGCGTGGAACACCGTCTGAGAGACACGACCGATGCCTGATTACTATACTCGTTTCATTTATAGGTCGTATAACCCAGCTTATCGCTTTGACGGGCCCAGGAGGCACATGGAGGAAGACTATCACTGACAAAGCTGTCTCGTGAGTCATTCGATGCTATTATCCTTACAGAACGCTCATTCGGGATGCGGGATGAAGCTGGTCAGCGAAACATGGACGGAGTCCTCCTGGCGATGCCAGTCTCCATCATTACGTTGGTGAACTGCTTTACAGAGGTATGTTACTTTCCCTGGCTAATCATCCGTAGCTGATCATGGGGCCATGCAATTAAGAGGGTGCCTTTGAGCAGGCGGAGCGGCACTTCCTAGCCTCAGGGCAGCGAGACAGTGCGCGACTCCTCGCCCAGATGTTTGTGGAGTGGGCATCGGCTGGTGGCCCTCCAGGCACATTTGCGCTGCGGGGGACCGTACCGTAAGTGTCATTGCCTCTGTTCAATCGAAATCGAACGTTGACGACTTCTCGCGCGCTCCGTTTTGTCCCTGCCGCCAACCCATGAATAGCTACCTTCTCAACGGCAACATACTCGCAGCACGGACGTTCATCACACAATTCTCGTCGCAGATTACGTCCAAACGTCCCGAGCTAGTGTCCACCCTTCAATCAGCACCAATACCGATCGAGAATAGCAAGGGCGGCCAGCCAGACGAGATAGTGTTCACCACAGATTCGGTGCTGAATTTCACTCAGCTTGCCGTGCGGACATGCCAACGCGCCCAGGGCGCGCAAAATAAGGCGATGCGGGAAGCTTGGATACGACTATGTGGGACTTATCAGAGCAAGGGCGGACTCATGAGCACTAAGGAAGTGCGAAAGGTGAGAACTTGGCTTCCTCTTTCCATGCGTGCGCCGTCGTCTTGGACATCAGAGACACACGGGCCTGTGTATCTGCATCACCTGTTCTTGCACATGCACAACTGAGCTCTTCGCCCTCGCCTGCTACGTGCTTTCTTTCTTGCCGTATGACCATGCAATCCATCTCTAACATCTCTTATGCACTGACGTCAACAGGCACTAATCGACCTAGCGGAACTATACTTCGCTATTCCTCCCCCAAGAGCGCAGGCAGCTAATCCGCTGGGTAACATGCTGTCCGCCATGTTCGGCGGGGCTCCATCTCCCGCCCAGCCCGCACGTCGCGTACTGTCCCCACCTCCTGTAACGAAATCGCCAGGACTGGACTAGACCACGCTTAACACCAACCCGTCCCGAGATGTACCATCAATGCACCCCGGCCAGTAGTTCTTGTGATGCATCATATTGCCGCAC